ACTTGAACAGTAAAGTTGATTTTAGCCTGCAGGAGGATTGAGTGTGCTCTTCTAAGTACTATTGAGTCTACCCCTGTTCTTGCTGAAGCTGGGGCCATCTTGTATGTGTCTCAACATTTACTTCTTCTCCATCTTCTACCCTCAAAGGCGTCATCCACAAAGCCTGCATATGCATGAACTAAAAGAGCCAATACCCACAATCAAGGTTGCCATGCTCCATGTAACTCCATGCTGCCTATGTACCACTGATTTCCTAACTCCTGCTGGTCACCAGGGGTTTCAGAAGGTAACCGAAGCCAATGCCAGACCCAGAAGAGGGCCTCATCCAAGCAGGACTGTCAAGGTCCTACCTTTTCCCTGAGGTTTTGTTACTCCATGTGCTGGCGTCCATCTTGGATTCTGCTGTGCATGGTGGGAATCCTTTTATGCCTTCAGGTCTCTGAGGTCCATCCCCCAGAGGGGTGTGGCTGATGACATATAAGCCTGTGGCCCGCACATGCTCTTTGCACTTGTGTCTTGTGTCTTTGTCTTCCTACAACTGTGTATACGCTCGTGGCTCTTCTGGTATCTGACTCGGCTTGTGATTAAGACCATTCTCTGTGTTTTTCCTTCGATCTGACCTTCCGTTGCTGAACCCGGCCCGTGACCTGTGATTCTCTGTCTACTGTTCTGTACCGTTTTGTCCCGTTGTTGTTGACCCGGCTTGCCTGACTACGCTATTGTCATTCTCACCAGCTACACGCCATTGGCAGCGGCCATTACCGCAGCCGGGGTGTCTCGGGGGCCGCGACCTGGTTCCTGGCTGCGTCAAATCCATCCCCACCATCAGGGGCCCTGGTGAAGGGCAGCCTGGGACTTAGACTCCGCACCCTGAGGGACTTCGGTCTGTTGGTGGTGGTTGTCGTCAGCCAGTGCGTTACCCTGCCACAAGGCCTACCTGTCCGTTCCACAGCCCCGCCCTGACAAGGACGCTTTAATCATTGGCTCACCCAAGATGTAGTGAATGTGAGAGCGAATGGGCATGGGCAAACGAGGTCACCAAAAATACCCACATCTATAACTCATGAACGGAACGGCTTTGGAGGATTTGTATTAAGAAGCTCCTGAGTTGACGCCTACCTATCTATGCTTTGAAGGGTGAATGCCATGCTTTCAACAAGTAGTATGTAGATGAGAACAAATCCTACCCAAGCTCAACTGCTCTGTGGAAGACAGGAGACTGAGAGACTGGCTAAGGCGTTCACCCTTCAAAGCATAGATCCACAAAATAGGTATCCATCAACTAGGGAGCTTCTTAATATAAATTCTTTATCGGTTACACAAGTACAGAATCCAAGGTGCTAACATGTTTCAGCTTACAAAGCCTTCCTCATAGCATACCGCGTTACAAGGAAAGCTTTGTAAGCCGAAACACGTTAGCACTTTGGATTCTGTACTTGTGTAACCGATAAATAATTTATATCAAGAAGCTCCCGAGTTGACAACTACCTATTTTGTGGATCTATGCTTTGAAGGGTGAACTGCTTTGAAGGGTGAACGCCTTGCTTTCAACAAGTACTATGTAGATGAGAACAAATCTTACCCAAGCTCAACAGCTCTGTTGGAATGTGGAGGCAGGAGACTGGTGGATTGGCTAAGGTGTTCACCCTTCAAAGCATAGATCCACAAAATAGGTATCCGTCAACTCGGGAGCTTCCTAATATAAATTCTATATTGGTTACAGGAGTACAGAATCCAAAGTGCTAACGTGTTTCGGCTTACAAAGCCTTCCTCATAGCAAAATGGAGGAGACATCAGGGCAATTTACAAGCTGCACTATAGACACCAGGACAGGAAGGGAAATATTACCCATATCATCCTTGGAAAAGTTCCAAGCCTTCCATACTTCATCCAAAACCAATATAGGCTGCTAAAGTCCCACTTTAAAGGTTAACTCCACTTACGCGGGAAATAAATTGAACGAATAATAAAAAATAATAATAATGGAGCGCATACAATTGCAACACAAGTCATATAGTAAGTGAATCTTATTATAAATGAACTTTCCTTACAGCCTGTCAGACACCGCCTGGCGGTACCACTAGCACTCCACAGAACAGGATTCCCCAGAGCGAGGAATCTAAGCCCCAGCCTGCTGTTCACCAGGGCCCCTGATGGTGGGGATGGACTTGGTCGCGGCCCCTGAGTACACCCACCTGTGGTAGAGGGATCCGCCAGAAGTGTGTACAGGTGGAGAGCCTGACGTGAAGAGGCAGATGGGCCTGAGCAGTGGTGACCGGATCCGTGCAGGGCGGATGGATAGCAGGGCAGTAAGTGTGGTCAGGCAGGCCGGTTCAGTAACAGTGGGATCAGCGTGGTACAAGGCAGCAGACAAAGAATAGTCAAGTCACTCGCCGGGTTCGGTAACAGGAGTTCAGATCGGTAGAATTGTCCAGAAGAGTAGTCAAACGATCCAGGGGTCAGAGCAGGAGAAGTCAGTGAAGTCAGGATCCAGCAGGGTCAGCAACGAATCAATCAGCAGGAAACACACGAGCAGGAACACACGAGCAGGAACACACGAGCAGGAACAGGGTAAGAATACCAGGGCAACTTGTGTCTGTGCAGGGCTGGTTTAAATAGCCCGCCACTGACAGGCAACGCCTGGGTCCTAGTGCCTGCCCAGCGCCGTCATAGGTGACAGGCGCGCCTGGGTCCTAGTGCCCGCCTACCTGCATGTCTTGTCGGACACCTACGCATGTGCAGACTTATGCGTCGCGGTGATCCCTGACACAGCCGCTGTAAAATTCAGCATGGCGACATAGACCTCCCCCCCCAAGAAATTTAACTTCCTGCTTGTGTGATTGGCTCACTGATTTTCCCAGAAGTTAGATTTTGGGTGTCCCCTGCAACACAAACATCATTTTTGGTGAGATGCTTACAAAGGGAAATCACAGCTAAAGTCCGATCACATACAGATTCACTCCGCACATGGACACAGGCAGACAAACAAACAAACAAACGGCTCTTTCTTCAAAATAACAAAAAGTATGGATCTGCAACAAAGTTTCATACAATCCCTGCAATGTCCACCACCCAGGGGGGATTTTTTTTTTTTCTCAAGTGGATTATTCTGATTGTAGCAAGAAAAACAAACGATCTCCAGATTATATAAACCTCGGGATCGCTGTACAAGTGTTCCTGAAACATATTAAAATACTGCGTACAGTATACTATCCCCGAGAAATATATGTAAACCGATAGTTATAAAGTGCAACAGAGAAAACTAAAGAGATGACTGGTTTTTTTTATATTAAAGTGTTACTAAACCCCCAACAGTGACACCCGTCTGTCTATGCAGCAAAGCATGCTGGTTATACTCACTGTGGAACCTAAGGGGTTAATCCTCTCTGCATTGTGTAAAAAGGGCTGTTTGATCCTGTCTTCTCTGATCCTCGGATCCTCCCTTTCTTCTACTGTCCTCAATCCATCTGCTGATAGAACAGAGCCTTGGGGGCAAGCTGCACATGCTCAGTTTGCTAGAGGTTTTTTTTTTTTCTTGGAAGAGTACATGTGATCAGCACAGGGCCAATCAGCGATGTCCAGACAGAAGTCCAGGGTCCTGTGTCCTGCTAGAGTAGAATGAAAACTCCTACAAGCATTAACCAGTGCTCTGCAGGACACTGATAGAAGTCACAAGACTGCTATATACTGCTGATGAGAAAAGGTATAGTGATAGGAATAAGATATAGTGAATGCAGGGTCCGGGGAGAGCGGATATAGTGAATGCGGGGTCCGGGGAGAGGGGATATAGTGGGGAGAGCGGATATAGTGAATGCAGGGTCCGGGGAGAGGGATATAGTGAATGCGGGGTCCGGGAGAGCAGATATAGTGAATGCGGGGTCCGGGGAGAGGGGATATAGTGAATGCGGGGTCCGGGGAGAGCGGATATAGGGAATGCGGGGTCCGGGGAGAGCGGATATAGTGAATGCGGGGGATATGTCTGGGGGGAGAGCGGATATAGTGAATGTGGGGTCCGGGAAGAGCGGATATAGTGAATGCGGGGTCCGGGGGAGAGCGGATATAGTGAATGCGGGGTCCGGGGAGAGCGGATATAGTGAATGCGGGGTCCGGGGAGAGCGGATATAGTGAATGCGGGGTCCGGGAGAGCGGATATAGTGAATGCGGGGTCCGGGGAGAGCGGATATAGTGAATGCGGGGTCCGGGGAGAGCGGATATAGTGAATGCGGGGTCCGGGGAGAGCGGATATAGTGAATGCGGGGTCCGGGGAGAGCGGATATAGTGAATGCGGGGTCCGGGGAGAGCGGATATAGTGAATGCGGGGTCCGGGGAGAGCGGATATAGTGAATGCGGGGTCCGGGGAGAGCGGATATAGTGAATGCGGGGTCCGGGGAGAGCGGATATAGTGAATGCGGGGTCCGGGGAGAGCGGATATAGTGAATGCGGGGTCCGGGTGAGAGGGGAGAGCGGATATAGTGAATGCGGGGTCCGGGGAGAGCGGATATAGTGAATGCGGGGTCCGGGGAGAGCGGATATAGTGAATGCGGGGTCCGGGGAGAGCGGGGTGAATGAGGGGAGCGGATATAGTGAATGCGGGGTCCGGGGAGAGCGGATATAGTGAATGCGGGGTCCGGGGAGAGCGGATATAGTGAATGCGGGGTCCGGGGAGAGGGATATAGTGAATGCGGGGTCCGGGGGGAGCGGATATAGTGAATGCGGGGTCCGGGGAGAGCGGATATAGTGAATGCGGGGTCCGGGGAGAGGGGATATAGTGAATGCGGGGTCCGGGGGAGCGGATATAGTGAATGCGGGGTCCGGGGAGAGCGGATATAGTGAATGCGGGGTCCGGGGAGAGCGGATATAGTGAATGCGGGGTCCGGGGAGAGCGGATATAGTGAATGCGGGGTCCGGGGAGAGCGGATATAGTGAATGCGGGGTCCGGGGAGAGCGGATATAGTGAATGCGGGGTCCGGGGAGAGCGGATATAGTGAATGCGGGGTCCGGGGAGAGCGGATATAGTGAATGCGGGGTCCGGGGAGAGCGGATATAGTAAATGCGGGGTCCGGGGAGAGCGGATATAGTGAATGCGGGGTCCGGGGAGAGCGGATATAGTGAATGCGGGGTCCGGGGAGAGCGGATATAGTGAATGCGGGGTCCGGGGAGAGCGGATATAGTGAATGCGGGGTCCGGGGAGAGCGGATATAGTGAATGCGGGGTCCGGGGAGAGAGCGGGTATAGTGAATGCGGGGTCCGGGGAGAGGGGGATATAGTGAATGCGGGGTCCGGGGAGAGCGGATATAGTGAATGCGGGGTCCGGGGAGAGAGCGGGTATAGTGAATGCGGGGTCCGGGGGAGAGCGGGGAGAGTGGATATAGTGAATGCGGGGTCCGGGGAGAGCGGATATAGTGAATGCGGGGTCCGTCCGGAGGAGAGCGGATATAGTGAATGCGGGATCCGGAGTTTAGTAACACTTTAATGCCCCCCCCCCCAATACTCATCTGAGTCCCATCTCGATCCATCAATGTGCAAGAAAGCAGTGGCTTTCTCCCATCTCATTGGCTCAGAGGCAGCAGCAGGAGCCACTGTCAATCACAGCAAGAGAGACGCACAGAGCCGGCTCAGGAGGGAGCGCACACAGGTGCCCCGTAAGTGACTTGCTATAAGGGCCCTCGGCGGGGGACCCCAGAAAAGAGGATGGGGGCTGCTCTGTGCATAACCATGACACAGAGCAGGTAAGTATAAAAAATATAAACTGTGATCCTTTACAATCGCTAGAAGGCGGTCGTAGACATTAGCAATCATATGAACGAGTAGAAATGTAGCAAAGTATAAAATCTACAATATAGACTGAAGTTACAGAACATTTGAAGGTCTGTTTAGGAACGTTTTCACACAAGGTTTGCATGTTTTTCACAACTGCATGTGTGAATCCTGAGTGAAAGTTGTGTGAATCTTGCCTGAAAACCTTTCTAAGTGGACCCTCTTGGTTTCTTTGGAGGTAGTAGGACAATTTGTGAACCATATAATTCATTGATAAATGTCCCCAGACAGTTCCTGATGGTGGGACTGGATTGGGAGGACATTCAGCCATTACAGAAGCAAATGATCACAGTAAAGTGCAGACAATTCTGAGCTCCACAACCTTGAGGTGACCACATCTACCCCAACTTGTGTAGAGCCGGGGCAAGACTCGGTGCTCCTGAGACTCAGCAAAAACTCCCAACCAGATTGGTCGTGGAGACTCTAGTTCACTATCACAGTATTGAGGGATTAGTAATTTCACAATATCGGTAGTGCAATGTGCAAAGTGCAGCAAGTATATGAGATGAATCTTCATTGCCTGCAGGCAGGCCTGGACTGGCCATAGGGGACATCGGGCATTTGCTGTGGGCTGAGGCCGCCAGGATACGGGGAAGGGGGAAGGCCGATCATTGTATTTTACTCCTGCCCCCGCTTCTCCTCCTCGCCCTGCGTGAATCCTAATATAAAAAAATGTAATAAAATTGGAAAAAATTATTAAAAAAAAAACTACTGACCCCAGTGTGGAACCACCAGGGTTACCAAGGTCGCTCTTGCATCCGGGCCCTGCCGTTCTGCCATTGGGCTCCAAGGAAAGGGTACCTGGGCATGAGGCTGCTCATTCTAAATTGCCCGGGCCTATGTTTTGTCCCAGTCCGGGCCTGCCTGCAGGGAAAGTAAAAAAAACCTGCATAAAAATGCGTCAAAAATGCATGGGCAAAAAAGCAATGCAGAAATGGATGACACGCAAACTGCGTAGGTGTGAACCTAGCCTTAGGGGTGCATGCGGAGATGCATTGAAGGTCTCTGTCAGGTCCTGAAGCACATCTGCGCATGCGTATGCAATGACATTCTCGCCTAGGCAAAAAAAAAAAAGGTGCCTAAAAATGTATAGATCCAATTGTGGGAGAGGGAGGGGACTGGAACCAGGTGAAAACAGAGTTTTTTTGTGGGGGTGAAGGTCCATTCTTGGAAAGTTCTCAGTAGTTGTTTCTAATTCTTGCAAACCCTTGGAAGCTCTATAGGGGGCGCACATGGCTGAGTTAGGTAGACTCATCTTCTTTTAGAAGCTCAGAAACGTTTTATCCGGAATACATTCCATGAGGTGTAAAGCCTTCAGAAGCTACTATCAGCCCTATGGAGAGAATGGAGGTCATGTGACTAAGGGTTGGACAAGACTTGACATCACGGATCACAGAGGAGAAGAGATCATCAGGGGGAGGATTTTCTTGTTATGGGGCTGTTTCTCACTCTGGAAGTGGTATTTCAGGGAGAGTCACCGGTTTTCCATCTGCAAAATAAAAAATAAAAAAAAAAAATTGGTAAAGGTCTCATCTTCATCCAGACGTTCTCCATAAATGGAGCATTCATAAAACATAAATGAGTTTTGTAAGCCCTCCAATCCATTCTGGAGGACCAGAGGATGTTCCTTCCTATTTGCCACCATGAGGTTGGAGCTTGTACATAGAGCCCTGGTGACCTCACTCTCTGACCTTCAGGCAGAATATGGAGGAAACTATGAGAACATCTTAGGTGGTATCAAAAAGTTTCGAGACTAGTTTTGTAACACGCAAACAGATGGCAGCACCAGGCTGCAAGTCAGTGTATCAAAAGACATTGTCCTGAGTTACACAGGCTGTGTACATCGGGAGCTGTGCAACTGGTGCTAATCTGACTGAGTGCGTTACCATTAGTGATGGGCAGAACACCCCCATGTTCGGTTTACGGTCAAACGTTTGAACCTAATGAACATTTGACCGTGAACTTAAAACTCAATGCAAGTCTATGGGACATGAACATATCCCCCCTTATGTATTATACATGGAGATCATATCCCCCTTATGTATCACACATAGAGATCATATCCCCCACCTTATGTATTATACATGGAGATCATATCCCCCCCTTATGTATTATACATGGAGATCATATCCCCCCCTTATGTATTATACATGGAGATCATATCCCCCCCTTATGTATTATACATGGAGATCATATCCCCCTTATGTATTATACATGGAGATCATATCCCCCCTTATGTATTATACATGGAGATCATATCCCCCTTATGTATTATACATGGAGATCATATCCCCCCTTATGTATTATACATGGAGATCATATCCCCCCTTATGTATTATACATGGAGATCATATCCCCCCCCCCTTATGTATTATACATGGAGATCATATCCCCCCTTATGTATTATACATGGAGATCATATCCCCCCTTATGTATTATACATGGAGATCATATCCCCCTTATGTATTATACATGGAGATCATATCCCCCCTTATGTATTATACATGGAGATCATATCCCCCCTTATGTATTATACATGGAGATCATATCCCCCCTTATGTATTATACATGGAGATCATATCCCCCCTTATGTATTATACATGGTGATCATATCCCCCCCTTATGTATTATACATGCAGATCATATCCCCCCTTATGTATTATACATGGAGATCATATCCCCCTTATGTATTATACATGGAGATCATATCCCCCCTTATGTATTATACATGGAGATCATATCCCCCCCTTATGTATTATACATGGAGATCATATCCCCCCCCTTATGTATTATACATGGAGATCATATCCCCCCTTATGTATTATACATGGAGATCATATCCCCCCTTATGTATTATACATGGAGATCATATCCCCCCCTTATGTATTATACATGGAGATCATATCCCCCCTTATGTATTATACATGGAAATCATATCCCCCCTCTTATGTATTATACATGGAGATCATATCCCCCCCCCTTATGTATTATACATGGAGTTCATATCCCCCCTTATGTATTATACATGGAGATCATATCCCCCCTTATGTATTATACATGGAGATCATATCCCCCCCTATTATTATTATACATGGAGATCATATCCCCCCTTATGTATTATACATGGAGATCATATCCCCCTTATGTATTATACATGGAGATCATATCCCCCCTTATGTATTATACATGGAGATCATATCCCCCCTTATGTATTATACATGGAGATCATATCCCCCCTTATGTATTATACATGGAGATCATATCCCCCTTATGTATTATACATGGAGATCATATCCCCCCTTATGTATTATACATGGAGATCATATCCCCCCTTATGTATTATACATGGAGATCATATCCCCCCCTTATGTATTATACATGGAGATCATATCCCCCCCTTATGTATTATACATGGAGATCATATCCCCCTTATGTATTATACATGGAGATCATATCCCCCCTTATGTATTATACATGGAGATCATATCCCCCCTTATGTATTATACATGGAGATCATATCCCCCTCTTATGTATTATACATGGAGATCATATCCCCCCTTATGTATATACATGGAGATCATATCCCCCCTTATGTATTATACATGGAGATCATATCCCCCCCTTATGTATTATACATGGAGATCATATCCCCCCTTATGTATTATACATGGAGATCATATCCCCCCTTATGTATTATACATGGAGATCATATCCCCCCTTATGTATTATACATGGAGATCATATCCCCCTTATGTATTATACATGGAGATCATATCCCCCCTTATGTATTATACATGGAGATCATATCCCCCCTTATGTATTATACATGGAGATCATATCCCCCCTTATGTATTATACATGGAGATCATATCCCCCTTATGTATTATACATGGTGATCATATCCCCCCTTATGTATTATACATGTAGATCATATCCCCCCTTATGTATTATACATGGAGATCATATCCCCCCTTATGTATTATACATGGAGATCATATCCCCCTTATGTATACATGGAGATCATATCCCCCTTATGTATTATACATGGAGAATCATATCCCCCTTATGTATTATACATGGAGATCATATCCCCCCTTATGTATTATACATGGAGATCATATCCCCCCCTTATGTATTATACATGGAGATCATATCCCCCCCTTATGTATTATACATGGAGATCATAGCCCCCCCTTATGTATTATACATGGAGATCATATCCCCCCATGGAGATCATATCCCCCTTATGTATTATACATGGAGATCATATCCCCCTTATGTATTATACATGGAGATCATATCCCCCCCTATGTATTTATACATGGAGATCATATCCCCCTTATGTATTATACATGGAGATCATATCCCCCCTTATGTATTATACATGGAGATCATATCCCCCCTTATGTATTATACATGGAGATCATATCCCCCTTATGTATTATACATGGAGATCATATCCCCCCTTATGTATTATACATTGGAGATCATATCCCCCCTTATGTATTATACATGGAGATCATATCCCCCCTTATGTATTATACATGGTGATCATATCCCCCTTATGTATTATACATGGAGATCATATCCCCCTTATGTATTATACATGGTGATCATATCCCCCCTTATGTATTATAC